AAATATATGTGCACTACTACAGCAGCCTGCTGGTTTTGCAGTGGCTTTTCTCCCCTCCCTGACACCTCCTCCTTCCCTTCCTTTCATATTTTTTCCTTGGACAAAATATTTCTTGCCTTTTAGATTATTATTATTATTATACACTGCACCACACCTTGGACAAAATATTTCTTCCCTTTTAGATTATTATTATTATTATTATTATTATACACTGCACCACAGAGTTCAAGTGAGGACAATTCTAATTTGATTTCATGCATGCCAATTCAAATTAGGTGGATTTATTGAGATGTCAAGCTCGGCATCTGCAGCACAGAATGTCAGTATTTCTGTGTAGGGGGAAAACACTTTCGTTCCGTGCAGGGACATGTACACACTAAGCTTGAAAAGTGTGCGTCTCTCTGCGGAGCATTTCTTCAACATAGCTGAGGATGGGCATGAACTTCATGAAAGTCCGTGATTTCTAGATCATGTCTCACGTTGGTCTTTGTACGAATGTATGTGTCATCATTACCACTTACCATAAGTCCAGGCAATCCAGGGGGACCCTGAGGTCCTGGTGGCCCATCTTTACCCTGCCAAAGAGACATAGATGTGACAATGTTCACACATGCTTTTGAAACAGTGAGATCCCTCAAAAAGCTCAAGGACCTTTCAAATCATTGTACATAGCATGTGACATAAAACAAAGCAAACACTACTACTACTACTACTACTACCCATTGTACATAGCATGTGATATAAAACAAAGCAACTACTACTACTACTACTACTACTACTACATAATGTGTTTTTTCCCATAAGCATTGTGAAAAGTATAAAATCTCTCAGGCCACAGACCTGAATCCAGCTGGCACTCCCAACCAGACTAGCTCCACTGAACAAATGATGTTTGCATATCCATTGACTCACCAAATGGCGGCTAGCTGGTGGATCTAGTCCGTTTGGGGAAAGGCAACTGGAATTAGACTTTGGTACAGTAAAAACCTTTCATTGGCTATTTCTTTAAAGCCCTCTGGGACTCATCTGATGATCCTATGGACTTTCACACTCCCCATCTTCCCATAAGCATTTCCACATCTACTCAACTCATCTCCCCCAGGATGTCAACTCAACTGCTATGGGAACATTGAGCCAAGTTGACAGCTCCTCTCCCTAATTCTGCATCTCAAAGTTTCTACAGACTGAATAGTGACTTACTATCTCTCCAGGATTTCCAGGTGGTCCCACAGGTCCCGGGGGCCCCTCTGAGCCCTAAGTATCAGGAAACAACATGCATCACTCTTTGTTCCTGGTGCAGTTCCCATCCTTAAGACACAGCAGTGCTCTCAATTTTTCATTTCAAAGCTTAACACACACACACACAAACACACTGTTGTTTCTACAACACTCTTAATATTAAAATGTCAAGCAATTCCATCTGCCTCTCAGAAGACCACAGCCAGCATTCTATTGTTCATTCCTGCTAAGAGTAGACTCAATGAATCTATTGTTCAAGGGTAAGTAAACTCCTATGTAAATCTCATTAAGACCATGGAACTGCTAGAGTTGAGACAAGCCATGGGATTCTGGCCAAGGAGATAACGTTTTCAAATGCCTTGAAAAGGAACCAACCCACAGAGTTGGACTGACTATCATGATGGGACATTTACGGTGTGATTCAAACTCCAATTTATACCAGTAGTAGTGAGTTTGGAATCAGCAGAAGCCTGTTGTGCCAGCACAACTGCCCTTCTGCCATGGCAACTTCCTTGTGGCTGATCTCAGATCTGCCTGTGAAGCTGCATCTGCCAGCGGAACAGTTGTGCTAGCTGAGATCAGCTGGTGGAAGAGCCAAAAGCAGGGAGGAGAAAGGGAGGAGAGGAAGAGGAAACAAATTATGCCAGATCTAAACCCTTCTCCATCCAGACTAACAGATACTGCACTGGCATGATGTTAGACCAAAGTGAGGGTAGTCCTAATGAATTTCCACCACCACCACCCCTTATCTAGAAGGGGTTTGGAATCAGCAAAGCCTCTGCTTGCTTTGGGTCAGCTCAGACCATTCTCAGCCATTTTGGGTGTGTGGAATAGTACCCTTCATTAGAGAGGCTGTACATCTGAAATCTAAGCTATCTCACCCTATTATAAAGGACCTTAAAATGGCCAGTCTTGTAATGATACTGCTTTGTTACATCAACTCTAGGTTTGAGTGCTCACACACACTAGCCGGCATACATCTGTTGATCTGCCAAGCACAAGTGCATCAAAATAGCTGTGTGATATATGCACAAACTGAAACCTGTCATCTAAATGCTAAAAGCAAGAAGTAGAATAAATCAATACACAAATTATATTCTGAGAACAGAATCTTATTGAGATTCTACTCTGTGGCTAATTCAAAAGGTGCCAGTTGCGTGCCTGGCCATGTACCAACCACATAACCATGACCCAGGCACTTGATCAGCACCCTTGTAAATTAGCTGCAGTTTCCTATACAATGTATGCAGTTTCACTTATTCCAAAATTAAAATCTCAAATGGATTCTTGCCAGAGTAAGAAGAGACTGTAGCCTGTCATGGAACAGGGATTTGTGACAGTATAATCAGATAGACAAATGCAGTACAATTTGCTTTGCAATGTGAGACAGGAGATTTTGGTAAAACATCTTACAGGTGGACCTGGGTTTCCAGGTGGACCCATGAAGCCAGGTATTCCAGGATGACCCTACGAAAGAGAATAGCAGCCTTTAGAATTCATGTTAAAGCCCTCCCTCGTATTCTTAGCAATCTGAATAGAAGCTAGTTAGCAAGCAAGTATAATGCAAGCTAATTTGACCACATCAGTCTGTGCATACATTACTGGAGCACTGATAAACTCCTTTAATTTACATGCAATTAAGAATGATCCTTGACTTTCTTGTGTTTTTAAAAAAGCGCCTGAATAAGGATAATGCTCAAATGTGTCACATACGATAAGTACTTCAAGCACTTTGACAGCTGTTTCTCTCTGTTATCTTCTTATTCATAAAAACTAAAAATACAAAACATTACTAGGAACGCATATCCCTGAGGATTCAGACCTAACACGCCCATTTGTTTCTGAAAAGATGTTGTACAGGCAGATAATTTATTCAGCAAACCTAAACCCAGCCAAGGTCGTTTACCTGTTCACCCTTCAGTCCAGCCTCACCAGATGTCCCTCGGTCTCCTTTACCACCCTATGAAGAGACAAGGCCATTTAAATTGAGCACTCTAAGCACATGCCTTTATGCATCTTTCATAACCAGAGCTTCAAAGTAACATCCTACAAATAAGTACGTTTCTTGTTTTGGTGAGGAAGGGATAACCAAGTTACATTTCAAATGTAACAAGTGAGCTTATTAGTGTAATTGTATGAAATAGAGGTTTATCGTTATTTTTGAAAGTTACATTTTCATGCCATTTGAAGCCATAGGCTCACAGAATGATGGAGTTGGAAAGGGTCTATAAGACTATCGAGTCCAACCCCCCGCTCAATGCAGGAAGAAATCAAAGGATATCTTCCAGGTAATTGTCTAAATTTCTCTTGAATGCCTCCAGTGTTGGAGCACCCACCAACTGTCAAGGTAATCGGTTCCATTGTCTTACAGCTCTAACAGTTAGGGTGTTTTTCCTGATATTCAATAGAAATCTGGCTTCCTATAACTTGAGCCCATTATTGTGTGTCCTTCACTCTGGGATGATCAAGAACAGATCCTGCCCCTCCTCTGTATGACTACCTTTCAAGTATTTGAAAAGTGCTCTCCTATCTGCTCTCAGTCTTGTTTTCTCAAGGCTAAACCTGCCCAGTTCTTTCAGTCTTTCCTCACAGGGCTTGGTTTCCAGCCCTCTGATCATCTGTGTGGCCCTCCTCTGAACTTGTTCTAATTTGCTAGCATCCTTCTTGAAGTGTGGCATCCATTTTTAAATGCATTTTCCCAATATTTCATGTTCTGAGCTATTATCTATCAATCTGAAGGTTCCCAAGTAATGGAAGGTAACAATTAAAAAAAAACAATACAAGTAATGTGATGAATTACTTTTTCAATGCCCTAATGAGTAACAGCACTGCAGTGAGCAACAAGGAAAAAAAATGTTCAAAATGTTTTTCAAGCTCTGCTTATCACTGTTGAAAACTGACTCATTAGCTTTCTCGAGATACCTAGGAAACACATTAACAGGGTTTCATATAATTTAAAAAAGGATGTTTCTTTTTCTTGAGAGGAGAAACGGATTGGTATCTACTTGTTCAAACATCTGTCAGGGAATATCTGGCCTACAGTTTAGTTTTCATCTTTAAAAAGTTTCTTCAAAAGTAATTTAGTCATCGCTTCTCTTAAAAAGACAAGTACATTATTTCCCCCCATCCCATCTTTTTGTTGAGGAAGAACTAAGCAAACATGCTGTTATGTGCCGTCAAGTCAGAACCAAATTATGGCAACTCTAATAGGGCTTTCAATGTTAGGTAAATGTTTAAGGAGTGTTTTTATCAGCTCCACACCCTCAGTGAGCTTCATCGTTGAGCAGGGATTTGAATTTGGCCCCGTTTTTCCTAGTCCATCACTCTATCCATTGTACCATTCTGGGCATCTATACAAATTTCAGAAATATAAATGTTGGCGTCTGTTGTTCTCACAGGTCAGAATAAAAAAATATATAAATTCTACCTGCTGAGCAATATTATGAGAATTTTTGTGCATTTCTATTGCATTTCAGCACTTTTTCTGGTGGATAGCTCACGAAAGTGATTTTTGCATTAAAAGGCCCATTTTGCACACACGTCTTATATTTTGTTTTAAAGCCTTGTATCTTATGTAGCACAAAACAGTGCTAATCTTTTCACACTACCTACAAGGTGGTACAAAAAGAAAAGAAAACACTGGGGGTTTTTAATACAACATTTTTTAATAATTGAAAAACAAACAAATATGAAATCATAAGAAGAGTAAATACAACCAACCTTCGGACCTTCTGGCCCAAGTGGTCCAGGGTGACCTCTGGGTCCTGGTTCTCCCTGAAAGGCAAGGAGAAAACTGGTCAATTTGTTGTGTATCTTTGTAAATACATGGTTGTTGGTTTTTGAATCCCACGTTCAAACAGAGGCAGTATTCACTGGCATCATTATTTCAGTGGAACATTTTGATCCTTTTATGTCTGTGGTGTACACTTTCAGGTGATTTGGGGGAGCTCTCTTGTCCATGGATTGAACCAGGCCTCACAATGGCTGGTTTTGGCCTTTCTTTTTTCTTTAAAAATAAACAGGAAGTGCCTCAATGAGAATGTTTGGTTCCATTTTCTTCTTCTTCTGTGGTGGAAAGGACACAGCGGACACCCTCAAAGCCCCTTGTGCAAAAAAAACAACAACAACAACAACAAAACCAGGCCCTGGAAACCTGCATTTGTGAATGCATATGGTTGTGAACATAAATGCAATATGTTTTCTTTCTTTATTTGTACAGTGGTGCCTCGCTTTACGATTGCCCCGCATTGCGACAAATCCGCTTAACAATGATTGTGATCGCAAAACGATGGTCTGAATGAGGGAATTTGGCTTTGTGATGATCGGTTCCCTGCTTTGGGAACTGATTCTTTGCATAATGATGTTTTTTGAACAGGTGATTGGCGGTTTCAAAATGGCCGCTGGGTGATTAAAATGGCTCCCCGCTGTGTTTAGGGATGGATTCCTCGCTATACAGGCAGCAAAAATGGCTGCCGTATGGAGGATCTTTGCTGGACGGTGAGTTTTTACCCCATTGGAATGCATTGAACGGGTTTCAATGTGTTTCAACTGGGTTTTTATTTTCACTTTATGATGTTTTCGCTTAATGACGATTTTCCTGGAACTGATTATCGTTGTTAAGCGAGGCACCATTGTACTGGATCATTGCACTATTTAAAATTATGGATGTATATGAACTATGGGTAAAATTTCAAAAAACAAATTAAAGTGTTAAGACAATTAGACTCTTTTTGACCACAAGCAGACTATCAATTAATCTTTAATCAATTAATTTGTTAATTAATCACTTGTGCATTAATCTATTAATCTGTTATATTTAATATTACCATGCATTACTCTATCTATTGATTAATAATATAAGATAGATAAATGCATAATAATATTAAATATTAATAGCAGATTAATAGGTAGATTAGCGCAACATTAATCTGCCAAGTATCCCTGACAGCAAATATTTGCTCACAGAAGAAGCTGAGGGTTCCTGTCTCTCTTGCTCAGTGAGGAACTGCAGTACCTGGAATTCAGTTCCTCCCTTTCCAACCTTGATGATGAATGTAAGTGTTGGTCCGTTCTCTTTCTTACCATCTTTCCAACCGGGCCTTCATGTCCAGGGGGGCCTGGAGGGCCTCGATCACCTTTGAATCCTGGCATTCCGGGAAGACCGGGAGGCCCAGGGGGACAGTCACTGCAGACATCCTAAAAGAAAGGAGCCAGTGTTTCTCTTACAAAGGCTGTCAAGACAGATGTTTGAAACAAGTGTCAATTGTGGCATAAAAACAACCCTGGGCATTTCACAGACTCAGGATATTATACTACCTTTACTATCGATACATCTCTACAATCTCAACTTCAGTTCTGAAAGAGGATCACCTGATGTTGGATCTTGCTTGGTTGTTCACAGAACTATGGTTCCCCAGATGGCATGAGCAAGGAATTTGAATCCAGAGCTATATAGCAAACTCAGCCTATCCACACTGGCATATAGAAATGGTATATGGTCCCCTGATAGCACTGTTTGGCATGGAAAAAAGACCTTCACCGGCTTGGTTTCTACTTAATAGGATTCATCTTCCCCTTTAAGTGCTGGCCCGTATCTTTCTGGCACAGGGCAAAGACATGCAATCTTTTGGGGGAGATTCATTGAGATGCAAAATGGCTCTTTGTTCTGCTTTCACAAGATTGCATGGAAGAGAAGGACCTTTTAAGCATTGACTAGACAGGCCACCTGTCAGAATTCAGTGCTTTGAGCGCTGCCCATGAACAAAACCTTGTTATTGTTCTACCACAGCCCTGTTCAGACATTATGAAATAGTTATGTTCTCTCAAGTCAGAACTGACTCATAGTGATACTCAGAGGGGTTTCAAGGTAAATGAGATAATTTTATTTACCTTTCAGCAGTTCCTATGCGTTTCTATGGCTGAGTGGGAATTTGAACCCAGGCCTCCTGAGTCGCCATCCATCACCTTATCCACTACAACAGTGGTTCTCAAACTTGGGTCCCCAGATGTTCTTGGACTACAACTCCAAGAATTATTGGCCAGCAAGCAAGTGGTGAAGGCTTCTGGGAACCACAGTCCAAGAACACCCAAGGACCCCAGTTTGAGAAGCATTGGTGTAAAAAGTATTTCATCTTTTTTTTACAACTGCCCATGAACAAAACCTTATTTTTCTACCACAGCCTTGAAATAGTTATGTTTTCTCAAGTCAGAACTGAGTCATAGTGACACTCAGAGGGGTTTCAGGGTAAATGAGATAATTAAGAAGTGGTTTCACCAGTTCCTATGAGTTTCTATGGCTGAGTGGGGATTTGAACCCAGGCCTTTTGAGTTGCCATCCATCACTTTATCCACTACAATTATTTAATGCAGAAACAGAGCAAACTACACAAAATAATGACGTCTGATTCCAAGGGAGAAATCAGTCTCAGAATGTAATATGGATATACCTTTATTTCAATTTAAAATACCAATTTAAAATGCTCATAAAATAATGATGACCTCATAGACTGTTAAGAGTTAAAAGCATTGGTGTAAAAAGAATTTCATCTTTTTTTTTTTACACAATCATGCAGTTGTTCAGTGTTTGCTGTGTGTGTAGTTGGTTTCCCCAGGAAAAATGGCAACAGTTTTGCACTGAGACAGTCAACTCTTCCATACATGTCACTGATTCAAGGAGCCTTTTCTAGTTGCAACTTACTACCATTGAATCGGTGGGATTTACGGAGGTGTTGAAATCTTCCCTGTAGTTGTGTTTCAGCAACAGAATTTCAGCCCTCAGATCCTTGAGCGCCTTTGAGGAAAACCTTACCTTCACCAAGAGGTTGATGTCACCGGGAGAAAGGATAGGAGATGCACCCTGTTGGGGGGAGGAAAAGAAAAAGGACCCAGCTTGTTCACACTCTCTTTGAAAAGCAGTTTCAGGCAACCAAAATAAAAATGGAGGGTGAATGAAAGTTCTCATGAAAAAAGATTAACTACTAAGCGGCCAGAGTTCAAGGAGTTAAATGTATTCTCGAAGGCTTTTCCAGCCGGGATCTGATAGTTGTTGTGGGTTTTTCAGGCTCTTTGGCCATGTTCTGAAGGTTGTAGATAGAATGGACAGAGTTCCTACTCCAGTCCTCTGAAGATCCAGGCCACAGAGACTGGCAAAAAATCAGGAAGAACAACCTTCAGAACACGGCCAAAGAGCCCGAAAAACCCACAACAACCAACTTCAAGGAGTTACAGACCCATTTTGAAAAAGACAACATTTTCTGCATCACTGTCATGGTTTCTCACTGGGGAAGTCCTTTCCGTATGACCGATATCTCATGCAAAGGAACAGGAAAGAAACCTGTGACAGGGTACCAGTTCAACAACTTTGACCCACTGATTTGCTGTGTTCTTTTTTCAACCTGGAACAAAATAGTCAATTCCAGCATGAAAAGTTTGCTGAGATTAAAAGCAAAGGAGAGAAAGAGACTGGGCATAATGGCACAGCTTACCGGCTTCCCTGGAGGTCCTCGTTCACCTGGATTCCCCGGGACACCCTGCAAGCAAGAAAGAAAAGAGTAAGCCAGAGGTCACTGGGTCCCTATTGGTCATTTTGCCCCGAAAATATTACGGGAGGATGGAGGCTTCCTGCAGAATGGGATGATCTCATTTAGAGATAGGGGTATTCATATTTGTGTACGAATACAAATATTCTCGAATTTGTGATTCTAAGAATTAGAGATGGGGTTATTCGTGTACGAATATGAATATCCCCGCACAGGTGGTGATGACAAGGGTCCAGCCCCATGATCGGAATGATCTGCTGCTGTTGTGGATGCTACAATTATTCCAATGGCTCTGCAGATCGCGATCTGCGAGCCACTCTTCAACCTTGCAGCGAGGTTTGTCCTCCCACCTCCTGCCAGGAGTGGCTAGCCAATCATGATCTGCAAAGCCGTTTGAAGAATTGTGCATCTGTGGCAGCAGTGGATCGGTGCATGGACCACCTATGTGGGGATATTCATATTCGTATACAAATATCCCAATCTCTAATTCGTAAGCACAAATTTGAGAATATATCCTGAGTAAAGGATTTCTTAGCTGTGGCACCCTTATGATACAAACTTGTACTGCAAGAATCTTCTGTTAATTCAGCCTCACTCACTCATCTCTTTACTCTAGACTTTGGAACTGCTTGACAGTTCTTGAGGAAACCTTTAGAATTCTCCTCTTGTCTCTCTTTCTTTTAACAGCCTATTATCATTGCATCTTATTTTGCTGCTGATCGAATCTGATTGACTTCCAGGGATTTAATAACCATGTCAACTGTTTTGTATTTTTGCTTTAATTTGGAAACTGCTTTAACATTTTCTCAGTGAAGATTGCATCTAAGATCAATATCAAATGAACAATAAGAAATATCTTCCTGAAAGACCTTGGTTGGCATACATTTGGTTTCCAGTCCAGAATTCTTCTGTTAACATTTCCAGCTCTACGAGTGATGCCGATCCATGATAGTTTAGAGCAGCCATGGGCAAGCAGTAAATATGGAGCTGTTTTGCTGTGGATTGGCAAGAGTTTTTAACCATGGGAAGTTTTAAAGCATCAATGACTAAAGATGGGATATTCATTTTCGTAAATAAATATGAATATTCTGGGTCCAGGTGACTCGATCCCCAGTCCCGTCTCCCACAACTGACCCAACCACTTATGGGTCATGGCACAGCATGCACCTGCGCTGGCTTCCTGCTTGTTGGACCAACATCAGAATACAAATATCCCATCTCTATCAATAACCAAAACATTTCTCAGCAGAACAAAATAAAATAAATGAATATAGAATATTCTAGTGCAAAAAAAAAAAAGGGAAGTGAGAGCTGGACCATAAAGAAGGCTGACCGCCAAAGAATGGATGCTTTTGAACTGTGAGCCCGGAAGAGACTCTTGAGAGTCCCCTGGACTGCAAGGAGAACAAACTTATCCATTCTGAAGGAAATCAACCCTGAGTGCTCCCCGGAAGGACAGATCCTGAAGCTGAGGCTCCAATACTTTGGCCATCTCATGAGAAGAGAGGACTCCCTGGAAAAGACCCTGATGTTGGGAAAGTGTGAAGGCAGGAGGAGAAAGGGACGACAGAGGACGAGATGGTTGGACCGTGTCACTGAAGTGACCAACATGAATTTGACCCAACTCTGGGAGGCAGTGGAAGACAGGAAGGCCTGGCATGCTCTGGTCCATGGGGTCACAAAGGGTCGGACACAACTTAATGACAACAACAAGTGCAAAAAGTTTAGGAAAAAGCTAGGAATAAATCCTGTGTGTGCAAATTAATACAGATAAGTATATCATGCAAAAAAGAGACAAACTCTGAGCTTACTTCTAGTTCTGAAAAGAAACCATTGGGCAAAGCACACTAGTCTTTACATCTAAGTGTACAAAAGTTTTCCCTTGTTTCAAATCACCGTTGCATGCATGGCTGTGCTTGGTGATCTTGGTGTTCTGTGAGAAGCATGAACAAAGCATATCCATGAAGCATGGAGCCTGTGCAACCTGCCTTAAAAAGGCAGAGACGGTCTCCCTTGAATCTCTTCGCTTAATGTAACTGGGCCATAAAAGTGCACCACCTTCTCTGCTCCTCTGCCTCCCACTAGCAAATTGATGCTATTGTGTGCGTGTTTATAGCTGGATGGTCTGACTTTATTCAACTCTTTTTGAAAACTGGCCCAGTTGGAAGGGAGAAAAGGAAGAAAACAAGGGGATTCATTTATTATCTCCTTTCACGCCTTTCTGTGGTCCTGTCTCTATTATTAAGAGGGGAGGAGAGATAATGAAGCTTCCCCAGGGAATAGCTGCTCAGTTCCAGAAAGCTGTGACTTTGCTGATTTAGCAGACTGGGGAAATGAGGTATGAATGAACAGGCAGTCTTGAAATTGTTCCTCAGGGAGGGAAAAGGAAGGAGTAGCATGTTGGCAATATGGTGTAACCAACTTTCATAGGAAGGAACGGAAAATGAGGGGGAAGGTTGTTTTTCTTAGCCACTAATTGTACAATGCCTAGAAACACATGTCTTAGAACCTAGAGCTACTGGGTGACTTTTATCTTTGTAGATCTTGATACAAGCATATTGGGCCCATACTTCTCAAATTAAAGCATGGAACACAAATACATCACCCATGGACTTTCACATTTCCAGAAAAGTCTGGTAAGGTTCTTTTATCACAACTTTCATCACAATGTATGTAAAAGTGTTATAGGATTTAAAAGTGTTTTCTATTGTAAGAAAACACTTTTAAAAGGCTAATGAAACATGGATTTCCATATAGATGCTTTGCAAAACACAGATTAGGATGGGTGCAAAATGCAAGCAGACTGGTAAGTGAACACATGTAAAAGTGAAATCGTCCAGCAATCCATTGAGGTCCCCCCTCAAAACCTTATATCTTTTCTTTTTAATATGAAAAGCAGCTTTGAGCAAAGAATTCTGAATCAAGAAGGTGTGAGTAGAGCAAGTGCTTAAAACTGCTTCAGGTTGAGTAGCATTGTAGAGATTCATACACTTGAAGTAAACTCTTTATTTAAAGGTAAAGGTTCTCCTTCACAATTTTTGTCGAGTCGTGTTCGACTCTAGGGGGCGGTGCTCATCCCCGTTTCCTAGCCATAGAGCCAGCGTTTTGTCCGAAGACAATCTTCCGTGGTCACATGGCCAGTGCGACTTAGACACGGAACACTGTTACCTTCCCACCGAGGTGGTCCCTATTTATCTACTTGCATTTGCATGCTTTCGAATCGCTAGGTTGGCGGGAGCTGGGACAAGCGACGGGCGCTCACTCCGTCACATGGATTCGATCTTACGACTGCTTGGTCTTCTGACCCTGCAGCACAGGCTTCTGCGGTTTAGCCCACAGTGCCACCACGTCCCTCTAAAGTCTTTATTTAGGGGATGCAAAAATATGTTTGTTTGATTTTTCCTTTTCTAAGCCAACAAATGGAATAGCTTCACATGTGCTTCTTTTTCCTGCCTATTTGTCTCCCTCTCTGTCTGGTTATAATTTTAAAATACAGTTAATTGAACAACTCTGTCAGTTAGGTAAAGGTAAAAGGTTCCCCTTGACATTGAGTGCAGTTGTGTCCGACTCTAGGGTGCAGTGCTCATCTCCGTCTCCAAGCCATAGAGCCAGCGTTTTGTCCGTAGACACTTTCTGTGGTCACGTGGCCAGCGCGACTAGACATGGAAGGCCATTACCTTCCCACCGTGGTGTTACCTATTTATCTACTTGCATTTTACATGCTTTCGAATGGCTAGGTTGGCAGGAGCTGGGACAAGCGACAGGAGCTCACTCCCTCATGTGGATTAAATCTTATGACAGCTGGTCTTCTGACCTTGCAGCACAGAAGCTTCTGCAGTTTAACCCGCAGCGCTACCACATCAGTTAAGTTGGGGATACTACACTGCATACATATTTTCTTACTGCTCGGTTCACTTGAGGATTAATATTTTTTGTGTGAAGATACTTCACTGATACATGATAGCAGAAGGGTAAGGAAAGATATTGTGTGCACGGTCTTCGGAGGAACCTTTGAGATCGTTTTTCACGTGAAGCGCATTGTGTGTTGTGAGCTTGCCAGACCTTAATTGCTCCCACTGGCCCCATCTTTGCTGTCCTTCTGCAAGCCGGTGAAGACCTTTCTCTTCAGGCAAGCTTTTCCTGAGTGACTGACTACCTGAATGGAGTTTTAACTGATTGGTTGTGCCATATTACTTTGAATTTATTTGTTGGTGTTGGTTTGTTTAGCGTTTTTTAGTGTGGTTATTTGTTCAATCCTTTTTAATGTTTTTATGCTTATTGCTTTTACCTCTAAATATTGTCTTTTAATGATGACAATAATGACGTAAGCTGCCTTGGGTCCTTTTTAAGGAGAAAGGGGGTGTACAAATATTTTAAATAAATCAATTAAAAATAAATAGCTGTACTTACATCCTGGCCAGGTGGTCCAGGAGATCCTTGAATACCTGGCAAACCTCGAGGACCCTGGTGGAAGAGGAAAAATAAATTAGATGCTGCTGCTGTGTTGTCTTTACTTCAATTTCTCATCACAAGAAATCCAAGATTCTTACTACATTGCAAATAGCTAGGCTTGCACTGTGCTCCCTCCAAAATTAATGTTTGGTCTCCTGTCCAGTGAGATGACATTATTCTAAGGCTCATGATAGTCTAGATCAGTGATGGCGAAACTATGGCACGCGTGCCACAGCTGGCACACAGAGCCCTCTCTGTGGGCACACAAGCCATAAGTCGCCATAGAGAATTACCCATCCTCCAATCCCAGATTTTGGCACTCCCCTCTGCTGGTGCAGTGGTCCATCAGAGGGGTGCAATGGGGGATTGGAGGACCAGGAAATATTTCTTTGTTAATACCACCCATAAGAAAAAACAACAACAAGCATTTAACCCTTGCAGTCCAGGAGCAGTTGTTTTTTCCAAACTAAAACCTCAGCATTTCGGTTTTAATTGCACAATTGGCACTTTGAAATAAATAAGTTGATTTTGTATTGCAA